CGTTTTGTTTTTTTTTTTAGGTCCTGAAGGAATAATTCCACTAGTATTGATAGAATCCGTATTTAAAGGTCCAAACAGGACTCTCTGGAACGAAAGCTTCTTTTTTTCTTTTTTTTTTCATTACTGGAGGATTGCAACCATATTAGTCCCCCCACAACGGGGAAAAAAAAAAAAAAGTGGGGTAAGAACAAAGAATAATATTATTTACCTAGTTCTTCCTTAGATCTATCTATATCTATCTATATATAGTTATATATATATATATATATATATATATATATATATATAGATATAGTTATGCCTTCTTCCTCACGTAGGGTGTTTAACACCCAGTCCAGCACCGCAACAACAACACCAATAACAACAACAACACCAATAACAGATATGGCTGCTTTAACTCCATACCGTGTTTCCTCCAGACTTGTGGATCGTCTACGCTCCGCCGGTGAGGCGAACCATAATGTTACCTCAAACACTACACATCACAATAGTAGTCGTACCGCCACTGTGGGTAGTGGACATCGCCATTCCATACATTCTTCTCATACCGCACGAGAACGAGGAGGAGGAGGAAGAGGATTGGATGATAAGGCGGGAATAGGAAATCTCTTGCATACGAGTACTCGGCGGCATTTGCCACCGCAGGAAAACAGAAATTATATATCCCCAACTGATAACTTGCATTACTGTGATGTTTCTGAACAGGAGGAGGTGGAAAGAGGAACGTCGGGTTCAAACTTTTTCCAAAGTGGTCGCCAATTAAATAGTAATAATCAACAGAATTTTGATTACAGAGATGAAACTCCCTTAATAGAATTACAGAGAGGATACGTAGTGGATACGAGAAATGAAGAAGAATTGGAATCTCGCACACCGCCGAAAGTGCGTAACCCGGCAACTAGTATTCATTTAAATAGAGATAACATTCACTCACACATAACACAACGAGCTAAGAAAGATAATGATCATTCAGATTTAAAACGGTCCACAGTAGAACATCAAAAAGGGCAAAAACGGCATTCAGCAAAGAAACAGATTCAAAATATGGTTTTGAAGAAAACTGAAGAAGCCTCAAAGACCAGTGACAATGATTTATTTCATAATGTCTTTCCTACTACCAGCAATGGTACCAATCCTGGTGTTTCTACTATTAGAATGGATCCACACTCTCCGAATATCTTGGGAACGAAATCGTCTTCTTCCTCTTCTTCCTCATACTTGAATAGATTACAGTCGCGTGTTAGGAAGCAGGGAGGCACGAGTTTATCCTCTTCCTCTTCTTCAGTTGTAGATGCTAGACCGATAGCAACTTTTGGATCGATACAAGGAGGAGAAGGAGGAGGAGTCCCATCTGATTCTGTAGTTTCCTCACGGTTAGAAGAGATACGTAGGCTTGTGAAGAAACGATGTACGGAAGAAAATCAAACCGCCGATCAGCCGTTGTTGTTGCTGCCGAAGTATGTGGTAGATCCTCGTGCAATAAATAATACACTGCAATTTGCAGCGGATGGATCGCGTATGAATAGTTTAAGCGATAGTAATGCTGCTGTTCCTAGAACTGGAAGGGGACGTACGAAAAATAATAATAATAATAATAATAATAATAATAATAATAATAATAATAATAATAATAATAATAATGTTTCTAGTGTTACCGTACTCTCTGAGAGGAATACGGGGGTTATTTGCTTTGTGTTTGATACCTGTAGTCTGTTGATTGCCACTGTGGATAAACTAAATGCCCTAATGAAATGCGGTATGGTGTGTCTCCCATCTGATGTTATCAGTGAGTTGGATGGAATGAATACCTCTAAAGGTCAAAACCCAACAGAGAAAAAGGCAGAGAAACGGCGGTTTGCAGCTAGACGTGTACGTAACTGGATCATTGCGAATAGTGGTAAAGATTCCAAAATTCGCGTTCAACGAAAGTGTGAAGTGGAACCCACATATGATCGTAGGGCGGAGACAAGAGATGAGTGGATCTTGGGCTTCGCCGTGTATTTGGAGCAGAAGGAGAGACTTCAGGTGGTGTTTATCACCGAAGATAAATTTTTACGTGTAAAGGCGGGTGCAGAGCTCAGTGGTCGTGTGATTTGTTGGGAAGAAGTCGTGAAGGAATATATTCAATCTTCTTCTTCTTCTACTAAGGGGCCACGCACACAGAAATCAAAACAGAGGAATATTACCAATTAGTAATTGCTGTTTTTTTTTTTTTTATTATTATTTGCTTTTTGCCCTTGAATTTCCGTTTGAATAGTTATTGGTAAATGATATTACGTTATCATTAAGAGCTTGAGGGAGCGAGAAGAGACAATGGAGATGGGAAAAAAAAGAAGCATTATCAAGTGAACTGTAATTCACTTTCTTTCTTTTTTTTCTTTTTCCACAAACCTCGTGGATTTCGATAAATGCATAAAGAATGTGTGAAGTCTTTGAGTATGAGCATTTGAGATTTGTTTTTTGATTTGTTTTTTTTTTTTTTTTTGTTGTTGTTTTTTTTCTCATTTGCTTTTATTTTTCATTTTATTCTTCTGTAGGTATGTCTTTCGATTGGTGAGAGTGTTTGGTGGGTGGTGGGGTGGGGTGGGGAAGAGACCGTGGATTGGTTCCCATACGAATCTAAAGTTTCTTGGACCCTCCCACCTCTTCTAAATAAAAATTAAAAAAATTTAAAAAAAAAATTAAAAATTACTCAACGGCACTTTACTGTTCCTTTTCAGTTTTCGTGCCGTCGACTACTTGGAAAGACCACCACCTTTACGTCTCTCATGCTCTTGCACTCTTTCCCTATTTCTTCATATGTCTCTCTCTCTCTCTCTCTCTCTCTCTCTCTATATATATATATATATATATATATGTATATTTATATATATATTTATTTATCTCTATCTGCTTATCTATATCTCTCACTCTATATATGACTCTATCTATCTTTGTTTATCTGTCTATTTATCTATCTATCCATCTATATCTCTTATTTGATGTTTTCTCCCTTTTGCTTCTTTTATTTTTCTTCCCTTTATCTAATTATTGAATAACCCCTTTCTCACAGGCCGCTACGTCAAATGAAGAGTGTACTACTACGGACGTATCACGTCCTGTTTTTACACTCCTTTGTACTGCAATTTCTTCTGTATTGCTCTATCAACTGTTCTTTTTTCTCTTTTACAGTAAGTGAGTAGAATCAGTTTGGTATCAATTACTGAAGTTTCTCAATATATATATATATATATATATATATATATATATAGAGAGAGAGAGAGAGAGACAGTGTTAATGGGCTAGTTCCTCTTATTCTTTGGTGAAAGCCAGAACTGATGTATCTTCTTATCTGAAGGTCGCATCAGCCACTTGGTTGCAAGTGTTATTATTTACTTATAACACTACCTTATTATCTTATGCATTTTACTGGTGGATTCCAAAGAATGAAAGTTAGAATTCCCAGACTCCCATATTTCTTAAACAAACCTATGGAATATCCTTCAATGCGTATAAGATGTATATATATATATATATATATAAGAATAAGAATAAGGTTTACTCAGAGATTGTTAATGGTTTCCTCAGTAGGGGTGTGGTGTGTTGGGAATGGGGTTAGGTATGGAGAATGAAAAGATAAAAGAAAAATAAATGAAAAAGAAAAACAAGAAAAAAAGATATCAAGTATTTTGTCTATAGATATAATGTATATATTGCTTACTTTACCAACCTGTGTTTTCTTTTCTTTTCTTTTTTTTTCTTTTTTTTTCTTTTTTTTTTTTGTTCTTTTTCTCTCTATCAAGTTTACTCCGCATTTTGCAGGAGGCAGACACCTTCGCTACTTTCAAACCCTTTTATTCTATTCAAATTGAAGTGTAAACGAGAAAGGGCGAACACGTACAGAAGAAAAGAAATGAAAAATCACAGTCAAGGGGAAGTGAAGGTGAACCAGAAGAAGAGTACAACAGCGGGATCTACACTGGAGTATGTTGACAACAGCCCACAAGATAGAAAGGAAAACAAACAGCGGAATCTTCCCGAGCCAAAGAAATTGGTATCAGCATCAGTATCAGCATCTTCAGAAAAAAGACCTGTAGAAACATCAAATTATATTCTCACGGGATCGCCTAAACGTAAGGCCCCGATATCAAACGGTGTGGTAGTATCCAACGTTCAAAATGACAGAAATAATAATGTTAATAATAATAATAATAATAATAATAATAATAATAATAATGGCAAGAAGAATGGGGTGACGTCTTCCACAAAACCGCTGCAGGCAGCAGCAGCAGCAGCGCCTGAGAAAGTGAACCACACAAATAAACAACAACAACAAGAAAAACAAGAAAAACAACAACAGCAAGAAGAACAGCAAATGTTCGGTAAATCAGAATACATGGATTATCAGTGGGATTACATGATGTATTGTTTTTCTCCCGATGAAACTAGTGGTGATGTGAAGGAAGAACTGAATGAGGATGATGCCTCAACGGATGACTTTTCAGCATCGAGTACAGAAGAAGAAGAGGAAGAAATAGAAGAAATAAACGGAAATGAAGAAGAAGAGGAAGAAGAAGAAGAAGAAGTGGATGATGCGAGAAGTCGGTTTGATTCGGTGTATATATATCAATACTCATTCGATCCAAATCCCTTATCAGAGCAAGAAGAACTACAACAACTACAACTACAACAATGGCAATCTACTGTGAATACCCCGTATTCCACATTAATAAAAGGTCCATACTATAACTCTCAGGAAAACGGTGTGAAGAACTCAGTTTTATCTGTAATGAATGGAACTCAAATGATAAGTGTAACTCCATGCCGAAAGGCAAGCCGTGAGACTTCTTCCTCAATACAATCTCCGCATATTACTAGTAGAAACTATGATAATAAGAGAGTTTCCACACTTCAGATACTCCCCGAAGGTATCCCACAGAAGCAGCTCCAGCAACAACAACAACAACAACAAGATGAAGATGATGAAGAAGAAGAAGATGAAGATGAAGAAATAGAAGAAATAGACGGGAATGGAGAAGAAGAGATGGATGAATCGAGAAGCCGGTTTGAGTCGGTGTTTATAGACCAATATTCATTTGATCCAAATCCCCTATCAGAGCAAGAAGATGAATTGCTATGGCAATCTACTGTTGATTCCCCTCGTCCCATAAATAAACAGAAATGGTTAAAAGATATTCATAAGAGTTTTAAACAAGTAACATCTCCAAACTGGTCTTATCTAGATAATATTACTCCTCCTGTGAATATGAATGGTGGAACTGGGCAAGAACGGGAGGAACAACCGCGGCCCTCTACAGGGAATAACAAAGATAAGGGTGAATACCCAACAGAGATGCCAGTTTTTATGAATGAACGAAACAACATTGCAGTTCGCAGAAGGAATGATGGGAATAGAAACTATATACAAGAACAGGATTCCCCACGTCCATCCAACTGCTCAGCGCCAGTGCTGAGAGTCTTTCCCATGACATCATCCACGGAATACAAGTGTAGAAGAACTCGTTAAATACCCGAAAAAGGATCGGAATTATTTCAATGGGATCTTGAACGGTGAGTTTCTGTACCTTTATGGAAAAGCAAAAAAAAAAAAAAAAAAAAAAAAAAGAGAGTGAGAGATGGTGTTTCATCAATAGATATAA